GACAATGCTTTCTTCTTTGGATCAATGCCTTTTCTTTTATTCCTTGGAGGCCTATGGTTTAAGTCATTTTCAAATTTTTTTATTTCCATTATGACAAATAATTAATTTTTTTAATATGCTTATTATAATTTACCCGCAAACATTTATTTTTCAGGACGTGCGAACCATGAAGCACTACGATCAAATGGACTCCTTCGTTCTGGCTGAAACATTCAAATATCTATACCTACTTTTCACTGAGCCTTCTGACCTTCCAATTAACTTGGATAACTTCGTATTGTCAACAGAAGCTCACCTGCTGCCAATTGGTCTTGGAGTGTCGACCAATTGGCATAGTCAACCTAGTAAAACTTCCGCCCACTCAACCGTATCTTCTTCGACATCCTCTTATTCCTTAATGTCTCATCACGACAACGCTCAGTCAGGGCAGAACTTGTTAGGACAAAATGACCCTGGGTCTTTACATGACTCAATCCCACCTTGTTCTTCTGGCCACAAATTCGCTTCTGCATCTATTCTACCATTTTATCAGTCCGATGTCCATGGTGATCGTGACCTAGTCGAGGAGACGCGGCTGCATCACCAGGCCCGATGTTCCAATCTTTTGCACACATTATTTGATACGGGGTCTAATAGTTTTGCGTCAAAAGAGCCAGTCTCTGACCTATTGCCGGGCGAAAAGTGCAGTGGATCTTCAACCCATGATTTACCCCCGGAAAGGTCGTTTTAGACTATCTGATTTGTTTTTTAATCAATTTTATATTGGCTTAGTTATTTTTATTATTTAATACTTGTTCTGGTTTTATGCAATACGAATGCTTTGGATTATTATACTATTCTTGAAAATCATCATCTCATCTTAACTGCTTATATTTTATCCATGCCTGAGGTATGTAAAACGACAACTTGCATAGAAGGCCTGATTGTCTGATAATTATCGATACTGTTGAGCTTACTTCTATTTTGAGCCTAAGTCTTTGGTAAAGATATTCGAACATCGATCCCCTCAGATGTCGGCGTATTCTTCTTGTCCAGCCGCTGATTGGCTTTACTGGAACATTCTTGTAGACGCTGTTACTCAGGCAGTTTCCTTCGATTCTGGTGAAAACGTGCTAAGTTTTCCTCCATCATATGACGGACATCATTAGAGCAGAATATTATCTTTACCACTGTATTCAGGTTAAAGAGTCAGAAAAACTCATCGTCTAATGATTAAATGCTGTATATTTACCTTATATCTATGCTTTTGATGAAGTTCAAAGTGATCTGGTTAGCGCAAATTATATTTCAATAGTCAAGCTTGTGAGGATGTCTGCCTGTGTGATTTTTGCATTCATGTATTCTTATATGTACTCTTGTCCTACACAAGAGGCTGGACGAAACTATGACACAACTGTCCTAACAGACAAATGCTTCCTAAGATTTTCTGACTTGTCAGCTTGTATATGGATGTAAGGATGATATCCTACACCGATGATGTCCGTCATACTACGGGCTAAATCATAACACATTTTCACCGGAATCGAAGGAGATGGTTTCGAAAACAAGGCCAACAAGAATGTTCCAGGAAAGCAAATTACTGCTAATCCAGAGGAATCCGTCATCATCTTCTGGTAGGATCGACCCTCGAACCTATACACCAAATACTCGCATTCACAACGGAAGTAAAATCAACAAAACGAAAGCTTCCTCGAGACTAAACTTTTCTTTGCATAATTATTGATAGCCTTTTTCCACATCTTTTCTCATCTTGACCCCTCATTTGAATCACTTTTTCTCGTTTCCCTACTCTTACTCGATCTTATGTTTTCATGGCTTTAGATTGACTTCTAACTCAGATTCGGATAAAAGCAGTCATGTGCTTATTTCCTTTACTGGCCAAAAAAGCACTGCCTCTACCTTGCTTTCACACATCCCGGAACAGTCAATAGCTAACGACAGCATCAGAAGCAATGAATTGCACGAGCGAAGTGGTGTAATTAGTCAAAAACAAGTCGAATTCGGATGTCGGGTGCACGATGGCCCTGGGCATCATCGTGGCCGAGCTTGGATACAATCCCTTATTAAATCGTCGCTATGTTCAGCACGTGGATGTCGTGCCCGCTTCAGACCTATCGTCCAAAACGGATCGGAGATGCTAAGTGAGTTAACATTAAAAAGCTTAAATATTTACTGCTAGTTTTTATTTTTAATAATCTTATATTTTTTAAATTGTATGTTTATTTTATAGGAGATGTATTCACCCTATTTCGTTTTAGGTGATTAGGACTGGGAGTAGAATTTTCCTACAATGATATGAGTAGAGCCGACGTTTCCATTGAATTTCACAGAGCCTTGCTTTCTCAAAAGTTGTACTCGTCCATAGTGGACTGCAGTTTCGACTTCGCATAGGCCTTATCAATGCCCCCAGCGTGAGTCTAACCATGACAGTGCAGAATGTGAGCCTGATGTGTTAACCGCTTGACCACTGCTACGATTGCCCTTTGTCACAGGGCCGATGTGAATTTAAAGGAAGGCCAGATCTTTTTCCATATCTACTCTACTTATTAAATTACGTAATGTAATCGATTGTTAGAGCAAAAATACGTTTGCTGATCGACAATCCCACCAAAGAATGTGATATGGGAAAAGGCCTGACCTTCCTTAAAATTCACATCGGCCCTGTGACCCAAGGGCACTCGTGGCAATGCGGCTAAGTGGTTAACGTGTCAAGCTCACATGCTGCATTGTCATGGTTCGACTCCCGCTGGGGGTGTTGATAAGACCTATTCGAGGTCGAAACTGCAGTCCACCCTGGATAATAACACCTTTTTGGAAAGCAAGGCTGTGTGAAATTCAATGGAGATGTCAGCTCTACTCAGATCTTTGTGGGAAAATTGTACTACTAGTCCTTCATCACCTTAAACGAAATAGAGTGAATACATCTGATATAACTAATTTTGTGGTAGTCTCGAAGCTCTACTTATTTACGAAAAATTATGCTTTTCTTGTCTGCTTTAAGTTGTACTATCTCGGATAAAAATTTTAGAATTATTATTCTTTAAATTGAATTTTTAATATAAGGGATAAATTTAATTGTTTTCAGGTTAGCCTTAGTAGTGAATTGTTCGTAAAACTGTGTAAGAATGTTTGCTGCCTTTTAAGGGCTCCAAGGGTTCAGTTGGGAATAATTAAAGAAC